TTTCTCCTGGCAATCTTGATTCCAGCTTGTGCTTCTTCCAGCCCAGTGTTTCTCATGATGTACTCTGCATATGTTAAATAAGCAGGGTGACAATATACAGCTGTGACGTACTCCTTTTCCTATTTGGAATCAGTCTGTTGGTCCATGTCCAGTTCTCACTGTTGCCTCCTGACCTACATATAGTTTTCTCAAGAGGCAGGTCAGGTGGTCTGGTGTTCCCATCTCTTTCAGAATTTTCCACAGTTTATTGTGATTCACACAGTCAAAGGCTTTGGCATAGTCAATAAAGCAGAAATAAATGTTTTTCTGGAATTCTTGCTTTTTTGATGATCCAGCAGATGTTGGCAATTAGATCCTTGGTTCCTCTGCCTTTTCTAAAACCAGCTTGAACATCTGGAATTTCACTGTAGTATTAATTAGTTCTAACTATGCTGAATCTAGGGAAAATGATATTCTAACAAATGCAAGTGTATCTGATACAGGAAGAAGTAAAGCATAATGTCTGACTTTCAGAGCCTCCAACACATTATCTGAACTAAATTTTTCTGGTTTAATAATTTTGTTGTCTCTGATCACACATTACTAAATTTTTGGCACTTAAACAAAGTTTATTTTGGGTAAAGACACTTTTTTTTAATTAAAGAGAATATTAGAAACTGTGGCCATCCTATTGAGAACAACTCTGGAAGATAAAAAATTAAAAAATTAAGCTGCTAAATGAATTAAAAACTACAATTTGAGAATTATTCTTTTTTTGTGTATGTATAATTTGACTTCATAGACCATGTACTAAAAGGAAGCTAAACTTCACATTTTACTAACTTAGTAGCTATTCACTTGAAAGATAATGTTTTTAAAGTTTCAGATTAATTTTGCATACTAAATGATATCACATTATTCAGTTCCATCCTTCGTTTATACAGTCTTGAACATCTTTTATGTGCAGGAAGCTACTGAGTATCCAGTGTATGTGTACTGGTGTTGTGTTTAATATAAACAAACAAGCAGTGATACTTTTCCTCACGAAGCTTTACTTCTAGAAACCTCCATGTACATTTAGATTTTTAAAAAGTTAAAATTTAAAAAATTTGGGGAACCATCCATTGTTGAGTAAAAGTATAATCTTATAAGTGTTTCCCTAGCACTGGGAGTCATCCATATATGAACATAGCTAATCTATAGTTTTGGAAGCTGGAATATAGAACAAAATTAGGTGAATCTCTGGAAATGTGACTGTTATCTATCACTTTTGTTTCTCTGTTAGTCTGAGTTGGCCTGTTTATGTTGTAAACCAAACTATTAGTACTATTTCACTGCCTTTCAGTTTTGTCCTCATAGTTATTTAATTAAATCTTCTGCATTTTGATCTTTTCTTCTTGAAATATTAAGTCTCAACATCACCTTGTAGATTATGACTACATTTAAGATGCCAAATAAGATGATTTAATATTGACTTGTAACATTACTACATTATGACTTTTTTTAGAGAGGGTTCATCTCCTGGAAATTTTTCTTCACTTATAATCAGCTTCCACATTCAGTTTAAGAGGAAAACATATGGAAACCTTTTCACCAGTTGCTGAAGACTTGAAAATGCAACAAAATGCAAGCCAGTAGCATGCATAGGCTATAGAATTGTTGCCCTCAACCTGTGATGTCCCAAATGTCCATGAAATTAGCAGGGTCCTTCAGAAACAATGTGAATTCCTTTGCTGTCATCATATTTTCATCTCTATTGTGGGGATAAACTGTTTTATCCATCAAGAAGCAAGGGACGGTATAATTTATTCTCATCTTAATATTTTTTCTCATATAAGGCAAATTTCTGAAGAATCGAATGGCTTTTTTTTTCTTCTGGTCTTGATCCTTCCTTCCTCCCTCCCTCCCTCCCCTCCATCAAGTGCCAAAGACTTGAGCCACTCTTAGACAAAGTGGAGGATTATCAGCAATTTTATTACATGCTTCAGTTATACTAGAAGCAAATCATGATGTTGAATACTTCCATTCAATGACTGTGATTTTACCATAGGTCTGACATATGATCACCCTTGACCTTGAAAGAGTCATAACAATCTTATTTAGAAAATGGCTGATGATGCGTTGCTTCTGGTGATCAGAACTTTTTGCCTAAGGGAAAATTCAAATTGTGGAGCTGTTCCTGATTATTTATTTATTTATTTTTTTACCTTACCCTTCCTTTGTGACCTTGGAATAATTTAAAGACTGAAACTACAGGTTGAAGGTATAGTGCCTATATAGCACAGTTCAAGTGGAATTTGGAGTGGAGAGGGACGAGGAATTCCACTTTTAAAAATACTTTTAAAAAGTAGGGTTCCTTGGAGATAGATCTTTTAAAAGTATCTTACTTGGGGAAATGCTATAGTAAATACTTGCTATGTTCCCTAAGTAAGATACTTTTAAAAGATCTTTCTCCGATATGCCTAGAAAAGCTAATCTTCAGTAGATATAAAATGAAAGATTTTTTTCCAGATAGTCCATTATTTTATTGTATGAAAACTTTCTAGTTTCACTTTCAAAGTTTTATTTTTTTATGTCGTGATCAAATTTCTAATGAGATTAAATTATACATCCAGAGTTCCGTTCAGTTCAGTTGCTCAGTCATGTCTGACTCTTTGCGACCCCATGGACTGTAGCACTCCAGGCTTCCCTGTCCATCACCAACTCCTGGAGCTTTATATACCCAGAAGCAGTCCTCAAAGGACAACAAAGTACAAAGATAAATAATATTAAAGGTGTTCTGAAGAGAGAGCTTCCCAATTCAATCTAACAGAAGAAATTGAAAAGAGTGGTCAATCCCTCTTAATGAAATAATTTTGCTGCTTCTAGATCACCATATCTTTTTTGTTCAACATTTTCTTTTTTCAAATGAATGTCATCATCTCCCCCAAGGCATTATTATTGGAATTTATATATTATGTGAGAGAAATGTGTAATCTTTGCTCAGAGAGTTAAGTTTGAAAAGAAGGCAATTTGATACCTTGTCTGTCTTGGTGCTCGTAAGGTCTATCCATCATGAGTGATTTCAGTTACCGAAGAGGATGTTGTGATTTTAGAATCTGTTGTGCAAGTGGCTCTGGCAGATCTTTTGAGGTGGTCTACCTACTTTTGGAGCACCAATGGCTATTGTTTTTTGTTATTGCTTTTCCTCAAGAATATACAGCATGCTTGCATCTTCCATCTTCTTTGAATGTCTTGATGACTATCTTTGTATGTTCTACTGAGTCAATAGAAGAATCACTCTTTCTGGCTCCCTTGCTTCTTTAGTTGATAAAAAAAATTATAGTGCAGTGCCTTAAGCCAATAATTTCTTATCACTGTTTGACTGGCAAAGTCTTTCACAAAGGGAGTTGGTTAAACTGGGAAGTAAAAGTTCTATAAATAGCTCTGGCAATGGGAGGAAAGTCAAAGATTGTTGGGTCTAAAAGGAAGAATCAAATGTTGCTCACTAATTTTATAAAACAGCTGAAGAGCAGACAAAAGGGTCTTCTTTCAGTTTTTCTCAAACTGTGTTGTAATGACAGTATGGTTTTGTGTGTCTGTGTGGTTTTGTTTTTGTTTTGTTTTTGACTTCACAGGAAGAGGTTTAAACATGAAGGCAAACCTTTTAGACGTTAGCATGGCTACATATAAAGCAAAGCTGCCTTTTTTTTTTCTTTTCTCTGCTTCCATTTAGGCCTATCACATAATTTAAGAAAAAATAAAATTTAATCACAGGAGCTCTTATATAGTGTGAAAAAAAACCCTGATCAATTTTGTTTTCGCAGCACGATATTATCAAAGATTTAAGAGACAAATTTGCCAGCCTCGGCGAGAACTCTCTGGTAACAGCATAAATGTCTGTGTTGGTTGCTTTTGATTTAAAGGTTTCTTTTTTCATTTGTTTGAGCCCATTTCTTCCCCCCCTCTTTTTAGTTTACTTTCTTTTTCATATTCTGTAACTAGCAAGCCTTCATTTTTTAAACCTCTTCCATCTTCCAGTGTCTATTTTCCGTACTTTGGATGGAAAGTTTATGGCAGCAAAGCTGTCACTCTGGCTACTTCTGCTGCAGCTCTTCCTGCTCTTAGGTCATATATGTTTTGGCCGTTGTGTTTATGGACATGATACTAATTGACTGTTTCATGTCCCATTGACTAAGCTTCTCTACCACGCCATTTGATGGACGCGCTGTCATAGGGCTCTATGCAACTTTCATTCTGCAACTTATACTGCTTGGTTCCGTCTCAATTCTCTAGCGAACTGAATAGCTCAAGTGAATGATCCTACCAGTCTTGAACTTGCTGTGCCTTTATATTTTATTTTGATTTCCTTCTGTATGTTTTCAATGGTAGTTTCAGTGGAAAAGAACAATCTCCAGCCATTGCTCTAGCAGTACCATGCAGTATCGTTTGTTACCACCTGAGAATACAAAATATAAAGGCACATTGCTTCTTTTATTCTTTGGGGGGGACTGGGGAGATCTGTTATCATAAGTCCACTACTTAGTTGAAGCCTACCTTTTAATCCATATCAGCTTTCAATTTTGCTTAAACTCCAACACGTCCTCAGTTGATGTTTTTCTGTCACTCAGTGATAACTTGCAACTCAAGCCATTTGCTGAGCAGTATCAAGTTATGGCCATGACTTGGGAGATGATTGTAAACATGGCAAACTGATGCACAAATGTATCATTCAGAAAGTGCAAGTTTCAATGATGAAGTATAGTACTTCAAAAGTATGATACAGGCTTTGGACTAATCTAGTCATTGAAATTAAGAAAATTCATCCTGTTAAACAAGTACCAAAAGTCTATCACAAGAAATATAAAGGGAAAAACCGAGAGCTGACTATGTTAACATCTGTTGAATAACATTGTTGGTGTTGAAATGGTCCATAATGTTGTCATAGAGCCCATACATGAAGAGATGATGAAAATATGGTTTATAGAAAGCTACTCTGCTTGATGATGGTCACAACATAAATGGTTGGGATTTGTGTTCAGGAAAAAGAAATGGAAAAGCAAAAGCTTCTATACCAACAAGCCAGGCTCCACGACCGCGGTGCTGCTGAGATGGTGCTGCAGACTATCAGTGCCAGCAAAGGTGAGCTCATTACCCTCTCTTGGAAGGGTTGATTCTTCAGATTTCGCCTGTATTCCCCGGGGGCTCCCTTGTTGGTATTATACTGATTTATTTAGTCCCTGAATTTCATGTTTATGATGAAGTCAGGTGACTTCATAAAGGCCAACTCTTTTGCCAGATCCAATGTTAATTATTTTCAATCCGAGTCTTAACTAAGAGATCTATTTTGTTTCTGTTCATTAAGTTTTGGAATTATGTTGGGACACAATGCTAACAAACTGATCAGGTAAATCAGGGGTGGGCAGACACTTTCCGTGAGAGGCCAGGTAGTAAATATTTCCAGTTTTTCAAGCATTGGGGTCTCAGGGCAACGCTTCAGCTCTGCCATAGTGTCTGCCATCTAGAGACAATACATAAACAGTGTGGCCTTGTTTCAATAAAACTTTATTTACAAAAAGAAGTACCAAGCTGGATGTGGTCCTCAGGGCCCGTGATATAAATGTTTAGATTTTTAAAGTGAGTCATTTTTAGCAATTCAAGTGCTATTGCATTTTTCAATAGCCAGGCAATTCAAGCTGCTTTTTCTTCCATTAGTAACATCTTCTTTATGAAAACTTTTTACTGTAATTTGAATGGAATGGAAAAGTAATAGTGGATATTAAACACTCCTCTCCAAATACAAGGATTGTTTCATTTTTAAGATAAGTGGAGGTAAATTACATTAAAAATAAAACATAATATGCTAAATTATAGATAACAAGTTGGATTTTAAATTTTGTCATTATTGCTTAAATAACTTAAAATTATGACTAGTCATCTTAATAAGATAAATGTTATGAAATGGAAATCATAAAAGTTGTTCAAACATACTTGAGGGAGGAGGGAGAAAATTTTAAGTGGCTTATGTTCATTTCAATATTATTTTATTTCACATTAGTTTTAAATTTTAATAATTTTAGGTATCAGTATTTCAAAATCATTTGTTTCTGTCTGTTCCTTTTTTCTGTTTTCTCATGTAATTTCAATTTGTGGACATAACAAACAGAATTTAGTAAAAACATTGATGGCAAAATCTGCATTATGACTTAATTATTTTTTTGGTATGTAAGTCAGTCTGTCCTCTACCATGGCACACATTTGTAGGAGGCTAATAGTGACTTTAAAACTGCACATTTTGAGATATAATTAGTTAATGTAGCAAGTGAAGAGATACAAGGAACACTATATTTTGTATTTTTAAGGTGAAACTGGACCCATGGTGGCTGCTACTTTGAAACTTGGAATTGCTATCTTAAATGGAGGGAACTCTACAGTACAGCAGGTATGTGATTAAGCCTTTCACATAATGTGCTTTTCAAATAGTTGGACCATATAGTCATCTTGTTGAACTATTTCAGTCATCCTAAAAGAACGGTTAGTTGTACGTTTTTTTTCACTTTCTATGTAAAATATGTTTTTATTTTATGGTCTTGTTCTAGTATCCAGATATTTTCTAGTTAGCACAATAAACACAGCTTCTAGGTACGACAATAGATAATATTTCTCTTTAGAAGTCTGAAGTCATGTCATATGGTGTTGTCATTTGCAATGCTGCATTTCATGTGACCAAGTCAGCATAAAGCAGCTGTTTTGTTTTAATACTGAAATATAATATCCTTACCTAGGCAGCCTAGTTCAGGAACATGTTTTATGGTGTTATACCTCCTGTAAATTGACTCTTGAGATTTTGTTAATAGTATGAAGCTGGCTCCTGGGTTAACATGTAAATAGGATGCACTGTTCAGAATTTTTTCTAGTTATAAATCTTTGTATTCTCCTAAGATAAGATAAAATCACTTCCCAACCAAGTTTTATAATTATATTCAGTTTGAAAGTTAGACGTTGTCAGGACTGGGGATTTGATAATGCAATTTCTCTATACAACTGAATGCAAAGATCTGTAAGTTTGTTAGAATAAAAGTATCTGAGTGACTTACTATAAATTAGTAAATACTAGAGAGTGTGTGGAGAGAAAGGAACCCTCCTACACTGTTGGTGGGAATGTAAATTGGTACAGTCACTATGGAAAGCAGTATGGAGGTTCTTCAGAAAACTAAAAATAGGATTAAAATATAAGCCCGCAATCCTACTCCTGGACATATATTCAGAAAAAACTATAATTGAAAAAGAAACATGTATTACTATGTTCATAGCAGCACGATTTACAATAGCTGAAACATGGAAACAAATGTGCGTCGACATATGAATGGATAAATAGGTGGTACATATACACAATGGAATACTACTCAGCCATTGAAAATGGGTGAAATAATGCCATGACATTCACATCAGCGTGGATACAACTAGAGGCTTTCATAAGAAGTGCAGTACCTCAGAAAGAGAAAGACAAACACCGTTTCACTTATATGTGAAATCTAAAATATTCCACTGTCTGCAAAATGAAAACAGATGCAAAGATGTAGAGAACAGACTTGTGGTTACCACGGGGAAGGAGAGTAGGGAAGGGCTTAGAAGTTGGGATTAGAAGATGCAAACTATTATATACAGAGTGGATAACCAACAACATCCTACTGTATAGCACAGGGAACAATAAACCATAATGGAAAAGACTGTAAAACAAAGGTGTATGTGTATATAACTGAGTCTCTTTGCTATACAGCAAAAATTAATACAACACTGTAAATCAAGTTTACATCACTAATATATATATATATTTTTATATATATGAGTGACTTAAAAAAACAAAACAGGAACAGAGTGACAAGCATGTACTGCATGCCTCTGGGGACACAGCTGACATTGTGTCTCTGAGCACAGAAAAAATTATTGTGCTTATTGAAAAACAGTAAAATATAAACTTCAGATTGTGTTATTATAAAACTAAGATCTCTTATTTATATATCTTGGCTTCTGTATGAGAAAGAACAGTTGATGAACAGGGAACTAATAACTATTCTTTCCTGGCTAAGTTTTAGTGAGGCAGGTAATGGGCTTCTCTCATTGAAGGAAAGGAAGGCTGGTGAGAACCTTAGAATGTTTGACTTCAAGATGTTGTGAACCTCAGAATCACCAAGGTGGGAATCACTACAGTGGGACAAAGCCATGAATATGCTCCTAGAAGACCTCTGAGTCTAAGAAAAGAAAAACTGAAAATTGTGAAGGCCTCTTTTGGACTAGCTCAGTTTTGAACTAGATTAAGTATTGAGTTGGCCGAAAAGTTCATTTGGGTTCTTCTGTAATATCTTATAGGAAAATATGAACAATATTTTTGGCCAAACTAGTAGAAGAGCTGAAAAATTCATCTTTACCTTGCTCTCAAATGGTGTGCTTTTTTACTGTAAATATAATCATTACATGTTATAATTGTATTGAAAACTCTGGCCTCTTGTTGGTGTAATGTTTATAAGCGCACAAAATAAAATTACACAGGTTGACAAAAGAAATAAAGTATATTGAAATGTGGTTATCAAAATGTTATATAACAGGTTTTTTATAAAGTTGTGTATTCCTTATGAATTCATTAAATAAAAGATCTAGTGCTTAGTCTAACAATTATTGAGAAGAAATGATTAAATACTTTTAAATAGCTATAACAACTGTAATGTGATAGGAAAATAGCCAAAATGTTTATTGGTAACAAAATCGTAGCCATTATTAATCCTACTTGTGATTGTTGCTTAGATTACTTGTTGAAAGGAATGCTAAATTTCAATTAGAAATAAACAAAGATAAAAGTGATTTTTTTTACTATCCAATTTACAGATTTCCTTTTTTGATTTCCATAGTAAAAGACTATATGACTTTTTTAAAATGTAAGGAAAAATAAAGAAAACCTACCTAATCTCTCCACAATACTGATCAAGAAATAATTTCCCTTAGCTTATGTATTACTTCAAAAGATCTTAATTATATATATACACACACACACACACACACACACATACACACACACACAGACATATACATATATATATCCAGAATCCTTGGAGTTAAAAGGAACCTTGAGAGATCATGTAATAAATATACTCACTGTATGTACAGATCCTTTCTTTTTCTCTCTAAACCTTCAGATATACCTGCCTTTGCCATGTAAGCCATGTTCATCTTGTTTTAAAAGACCAGTGATTAATAACTGCGTCATGTTTATTACACCAGCAAGTTATCGCACACACACGTACACCCCGAAACAGCTCTGTTGTTATGTGTCTGTATTTGTATGTATCTGTGCATGTGTAGGTGTATCCATATGTGTGCAAACACACACACTACACTTTGTGTGTGTGTATGCAGCCTTCACACATTTAGTTTATATTACCTTTAACTCTAATTTCTTAAAAGAGATTACTTAACCATCATTTTGACTGCTTAGCTGATCCCTGTCTAAATAGCACTGATAATAGGAATTTAAGATTCAGAGAAGAGCAGTGTCTTTATTTTCTTAGTGTTTCTCTTATTATCTGCAATGTACTGCTTATTTGAAACCTCCAGCACATCCTATTCACAGTTGAAGTAGCTGTTTCCCTATGGCATGTAACAATATACTCACAGCTATGCATTGCATTAGTATTTTTTACATTTATGTTTAACCAATATGTTGACCACAGAATCTGGACATCATTCTGAGAACAGAGGAGAAAAATTAATAGTCAAATGATTCCCACCATTCCTTGAGTTTAGAGACCATGGTAATGGAAACTGAATTTCTGTCTTAGCAGCATATGGTAGTCAGAGCTCTTGGATGACTGCTTTTTAAGGAGCTCACCTTTTTTTTAAATTAATCTGTTTATTTTAATTGGAGGCTAATTACTTTACAACATTGTGGTGGTTTTTGCCATACATCGACATGAATCAGCCATGAGTGTACACGTGTCCCCCATCCTGAACCCCCCTCCCACTTCCCTCCCCATCCCATCCCTCTGGGTTGTCCCAGTGCTCCAGCTTTGAGTGCCCTGCATCATGCATCAAACTTGCATTGGAGCTTACTTTTGTAGTGAAATCTGTGAAGAGCATTCAGATGGGCCTTCTTCCCAGTAAACTTGAACTAAGTATCTGAATCTCTAAATACTGACAGAGTGACTTGAAGAGAACTAAGGGTACTATTTTCCCCGATGTTTATGCTGCTTGTGGTGTTTTGTAAAGCATCTCCCTTGTTCCAAGCCATGGGTATGTCCTGTTGCACACACACAGAAATGGGCAAGTCTCTAGATGTGACATGCGTGTCACTATTTCATGGTCATGTTTGTATGCACTGATATTTTTTATCTTTATTTTAGCGTAGAAAGAATGTTTTGTTGTTTCTTATTTAACAAAAAATAAGATTTATGTTCAGTGACCATGTGGTTTATCTATTTACTGCAGAAAATGCTTGACTACCTCAAGGAGAAAAAGGATGTGGGCTTCTTTCAGAGCCTGGCTGGCCTGATGCAGTCATGCAGGTAAGCACCTGCTTTCTTTGCTTTAGTTGCACTCAGTGGTTGTATCTTTAAAAGTACTTTTTTTTACATTACTGATGGTACTTATATACAGAAAATTTTTTTATTGAAACAGTTTTTTAAATTTAATTAATTTTTATTGGAGTATATAGTTGTTTTAGAATGTTGTGTTCCCAGAAGATTTTTTAATGGTTAAACACACTTTCAAGTGGGGCAAAAATGTGCAAGTGTCTTATATTCTGTCTTGCTGTTAGATGTTAGTAATGTCTTCATTACTAACTTGTTCCATGTTAATAATGTCTTAAAATAATATTCCTTGTGCTTAAATAGGGACCTTGGATGATTTTTGAAAGCCAGAAAAGTCCATTTCATTTTATCTATGAGCTTTGAGATCACGTCTCAGCTTCCCTACAATGATCCTTAACCAACTAATTTATGATCATTTTCTAGTTTTTACAGTATTTAAAATCATTCAGATGGCATTTGACTAAAGAACCTGACACATACTTAATGTGATAAGCTATTCCAACTGGAAAAACATGATTATTATGCCTGCTGACTTTGTAATGTTCTTCCAAGTTGAAGCCCATTAATGCCATATACTTGACTTTCAAATGGATCATTTCAGTGTGGTCCCTGGAGAAGTGGTCTGCTGCAAAAACAAAACACTATTGGTAAACATTGAGTCAGGGTGTTTTCAATGCATAATAGCATTCGGTTCACACTTCATGATACACATTTGCCCTTCTGAAGAAAGGAAAGGTTCTGTTAGTCCTCTAAATGTTTTTCTCCCTGTTATTGCAGTGTCCTCGACCTAAATGCATTTGAGCGACAAAACAAAGCTGAAGGACTTGGGATGGTGACTGAGGAAGGATCAGGTACTGATCACTTAAAAAGATCACCTGTCCCCACTTCTTCCCTGAAATTACCTTTCCAGTACAGAGAGATGCGAGGTTATCTAAGTGGACACCGTGCTTATGTGACTCATTTAAAAGTTTGTAGTTAGACACCTATATAGGGCACATCCAAGACCCCAGACCTAACCTTCCATGTTGGTAATTGACTCCTTGTTATTTCAGACGCACTGTCTGTGCCCTTTCCCCTAGCTGGGGTTAAAGAACCCTTATCATAGAATTATATCTAAAATTATAAAGTGCATGGATGAGCCACATTAGAAAATGTTTGACTTCCTTTGGCCATTTTAGCAAACTGGCAGGCTTCCAGATTCTATCTCCTTAGGACAGAAATGCTTTCAGAGCCTTCAGTCCAGCAGTATTCTTACTACTCTTCCCTTTTAGCTCAGTTATCCTTCTATTTGATAAATCCATATGTCTTTTCAAGTACAAGTTGTTTAAGAAAATAAATTAAAGAGTAGTCTTTGTGTTTAACTTTGATCATTTAATGTACATATGCATAAAAATAACTCACATAATAGAGTTTTTCTCTCTTTAAATAGATGTGTAAACTAGAAAATTTAGCACACTGTGCATTTAAAGCAGAAATAATTGTTGCTGCACATTCATTTTGGTATCTATTAAGAAAAAACTATCTTCTCTATTTTTGGTTTTGATTTGTTTTTATTCTTTTGTGTTTGATTTTTAAATTATTTTAGTTTGAGTAAGGCCCCGTGTGTTTATCTGTTTTTGTTTGTTTTGTCTGGTTTGGAGTTGTCACCTTATCAATGTATTAGTTTTAGAACATTGGGTCTTCTAAAAAACTACGCTTATTGCAAAAAAAAAATAAATTTTCTCCCCTCTGCCATTGGTAGTCCGCTTGCCCTTCTAAAATATTTTAGAATTAACAAATCTTTCTAATTATCTCTGTATATTTTTGTTCTCACAATAGGAAAAAGAATTTAGTTGCATTTTTCTTCCTGTATTTTAAAGATGATCATTTAGACATATTCTAATGCTGCTGCTTCTATATCACCTGTGTAATTTTATTTTCTGCTTGGCATTTGAATGTAGAAGTTCAGACATCAAGTTAATACTTGGTTATTATTGGTTATTTAATTGGGTTAGCTACCTCTAAGAAAAATCACCAGCAGAATTCTGAACTTACTTAGATATTCTGAAAAGTAACTTCAAGCTAAATCTCTCCATCACTAACATTTGTATCACCAGTTACAACTCCTGGCCTATCGGACCTGTCTGGAGAATTCAGAGCCACTATAAAGCCCACGTCCCATTAACTGCATTGCCTTTAAGGTCTCACAGAAGTCCTAGGGTTTTTACAGCTGTAAAGTGCCTAAAAATGAGTCAGTTCTCTATCTGACTTCCCTGTTTTGGAATTAGTAATCAATTTTATTTTCCCCTGAAGTTCTTGCCTAATGTACCAGAGGCTCTGATCATAATTCCATTCACCGTTCCATGTCACTCTTTACATCAGCTCCCACAAAGAAATAGTGACCACACAGGTTTATTTTCCTGGCCTCCTAGACTTTTATCAACCAGGTATGGATTGGAATAACACTTGTGAGTCCCATTTCAGAAATAAGTTGATAAGAGCAGCCGTCCTGATGTGAGAATTAGTTCTGTCTCTCAATATGAGATTGGTTTGGTTAGTTTATTCTTTTTAAAGATGCACACAAAAGTTATTGCCCAAATTGATTAACACGTTTATATTTTATTTCCTTACAAACAGCAAAACAAAAACAATGTCTCAACTTCTTTTCTTTTTCCCCATTTCCTTTCCTTTCAACTACTGTCCATGTATATTCTCCCTTCCTCAGTCATCACTCATGAGCGTGGTAATTATTAAAAATGAACTGCCTTTTCTTTATTTGCTCCTTTATTTGTTGTTAGCTTGATGTACAGTCTTGATAGTGACAGTTTTTGTGCATTTTTCCTTTTCTAGACCATTTTAGCAAGTAGATTATTTACTTTTCATCATTATGCATCCTTTTACTTTTAAAACTTATGTATCAAGCTTTCCTTTTTTTTCTCCCTATGAGGATGTGTAGTTATTAACATAGAGACATAAAGGGGCAACAAGCATTTAAATGATGGTCTTGGATTTGTTTGGTTCTGTTCTTTCATTTAAAAGAAGTTCTGGTGGACCCAGTGTTTGCAACTATTGTGTAAATGAGTGAATGTGTGCAATAGTTTCCCTGTGGCGTTTCTGTTTTGGACATACTGTGGCTTTATGGCTGCACCAAGTGGTGCATGGGAAAATCAGTGCTGACCCAGGGTGGGTGGTGAATGGTTGAGTCTCCTTTAAGCCACTGGACTCTGCCAGTTCACCTCCAAGTGTTAAAAGATCTACAGTTTTTCTCTGTGCCTTTGAAAATATCACATATTAAAAACCTTCTAACATAAAATGACCTTTCATTCTTGAGATCAAATTTGAAGAACACTAGAAACAGTAGCAAGTATTTACTCTTCAGGCTAGCATAATAACAAAGATGGCATTGATACTGCAAAGCTAGTTAAAGTTAGAAAGTTAAATTGCTCAGTCGTGTCCGGCTCTTTGCGACCCCATGAACTGTAGCCCACCAGGCTCCTCCATCCACGGGATTCTCCAGGCAAGAGTACTGGAGTGGGTTTGCCATTTCCTTCTCCAGGAGATCTTCCTGACCCAGGGATCAAACCCAGGTCTCCCGCATTGCAGGCAGATGCTTTAACCTCTGAGCCACCAGGGAAGCAAGGTAGTCTCTGAAAGACATGACATGTGATGATAAAGAAGGGATGAGATTTTTTCAAACAGTATTCTGTGTGTCAACATGGCTTCAGAGATTAAGTTGTGCTTTCTCAGTACACACTGCTGCCTTCATCAAGAGACCTCTTAGGAGACTGTGCAGTGACAACTCATTGCCTCTAATGATTACTATACTATTTCCCAGACTGAGAACACCTATACTGTCTCTATCTTTGGCATTTAAAAAAAAATTTTGTTACGTGGCCATTCTTTTAAGATTCTGCAACTGTTAAAAAAAGTATGTACCCTTATAGGTGAAAGAACCTAGGTCATCCCTCTTGGAAAATATAGAAAACACTGACAAATCTAAATCCATTAGTGATCTCACTGCTTCACAGCTTGAGGCTTATGCGGTATAAGCTCAGGACTGAGAAAATAATCTGATAGATCTAAATCTCCATCCTAACCAATTCTGTTTATTAAGCTAAATCTGTTGCTGATGATGAAATGACCATAAATTATGTCACTATGTAAAATGTGTAACTTAAATACATGAACTTTTTCGTACCCATGACTTTCCCATGGTATTTTCCCCTGTTTTATAAATAGAGCAAGGCAAAGTAAGATTCCACGGCTTGTCCAGGGTCACACAGCAGTGTGGCAAGATCAAGGCTAAAATGCAGGCATTCTTTATGTCTCTAATTTGCCAATTCCACAAGCCAATTCCCTTTCCTTCCAGTCTCTAGTAGTCTTTGGGGGACTTATCTTTTGTCCAGCACATTGGCTTAGGTTAGAATTATGGACCCCCTAATGTCTCCCTTCAAAGGCACCCATCTATGGCCAATTTTTGAATCCATTGTTGAAGTTTCAATACCACTTTTAAGCTTTTTATGATTACACATGATACTCCCCATCTGGATTGAGATACCATTAGGAAATACATGCTTCTCTAAGGTTTGTATACAGCTGTCCCTCGATATCCATGAGGTCCATCCAGGACCCTCTTCCTGTCCACAGATGCTCAAGTCCCTTATATAAAATGGCATAGTGTGGTCATACCCCTGTATCCACAAATATAGGACAGCTGTATAAGGATATCGGACTAATTGTTGATACTCCTTTTTCTATACTGTCGTTGTCATGTAAGTTTGCCGTGTACCCTTATCCCACCTTGTTAAATTTCCCTCATTTTTATTGGGTTGCCAAAAAGTCCTACCTGTTTTTTCTATAACATCTTACAGAAAAACCTGAAGGAACTTTTTGGCCCACTCAATAAGAAAGTCTGGACTTCCCCCTTGTTAAAAAAGAAAAAAAATTCTTCAGATGTGTTTAGATTTTGTGATGTGCTCAGTGTTGTCCTCTATGGATATTTTTTAGTCCTATGTGTTTTATTTTACTATGTGAAATGAAGTTCAAAACCAAAAACTTTTATGAACTTTTGAAATTTCATTCCATCCTTGGATTTTTGATTTGTTTCTCCTCAGTACCATTTATCCTCATTACAAATTCATGATGAGCTTGAAAGTGCAATTTTTCTTCTTTCAAACATCTTCTTGGAATATAGTTGAAGATACTGCATTATATTTTTAATCATTTTGCAGGGGTCCTTGACTTCATAAACAAGTTAAAATTTGGAAGCTGATCTGATTCCTCAGAAATTGTTTGATTTTCTAAAAGGTTATATAAAACATTAATACAAGTTAAGCTTCTTCCATTTCCACCTGTATTTGGTAATGTGTTGCATTGAGGTTCTTGCCTATATATAGTGACCTCATGAAGTTTATGTGAAGTTAAGTGAAAAGGGTTCCTTTTAATTAATTAATCAAAAGGATAATTATAGCAATCTTTAAATATTGACCACACTAATGTTTTTTAGTGTTTTTAGTGCTTAATTATTTATTGGCTATCTTCCACCCCAGATTGTCCCAAGGATACTTTCCCACATGGAATCCAGTAGATCCTGATATCCATCTGGATCCTAACTATATTATTCTGCCATTCCTGTGTAAATATTCTCTTCATGGAAAGCCTATGGTTAATGGCACTAAATAGATTTTTTTTTTAACATCCTTGCACAGTTTTTAAACTTTGAAGGACTCATTTAAATTTGAGTGGCTATTACATGCTAGACACTGTCCTAGATATTGGATTTATACAGGAAATCCAGAGTATTGTGTAGAGAGACTTGTAAATAAGCAACTTCAGAGCAGTGCCCTCTGTGTAAGAGAAAACTGAGCTAATA